AGTTACAAGCAAGCATGTTGAAGCAATAATAATGTTACAATATATAAAATTAATTACTACCGTTTTTTTATGTAATCAAAATGTTCAACAGAGCTTATCTCTTTAAGTCATCCGGCTGCCAATAGTCCAGGTGATGAACAGTTTTTGACTTTTGATACCATGTCAGAGTCATCCATAAAGAACAATGGGCTGGCATAAGAACATATATTTAGCATGATATGAATACATGTATCTTTTACAGATAGTACCACATAAAATGGTATGTATTCATGGAAAAACTAGATTTAGGCTAATCATTATTACAATATAATGTCTCTTTGATCTAAAACTTCCTAATTATCAGATTTCCTCAGTTACCATTGGTCTCTCATTTATTTATTGAGTCCCCTCATGTCTTTCCCCATGCAATGTTGCAAAATTCTGTTCTAATCTAAAAGGACAAAAATAATGAATTAACAAGGCTAGCAATATAGCCACAGCAATGACAGCATTATTAGTGTCATCATCAAGACAATAATAACTCAAGGATAAAGGAACATTATGCTGACTTTCTTCGCCTGGCACCAATAAAGTACTTATTGAGTGCCATTGTGCCAGAAATTTGAACACTTTTAATATTAACGGCAAACGAAATGTCAATGTTTACCTTAATCCTTTTGTCTCAATGTAAAAATTGCAAAATCGATCTCTTGGTAAATGAAAAACCAGATGGTTTCCTGAAAAATCAACGCAACGGCTGGCAACCTAATAAGATTTTTGGAATCTTAATTCATCCCAGAAGCAGGGCAATATGGCCAATAATGCTAAGGAAAATGCTTGTTTTTGAAGCAGAGACATTGTGTGAGAATTACCGGTGTTTTTTTAGTTCTTTTTTATGGCATCACCCTTGAATACTCCACCAAATCCACCTTCACCAATCAAGCCATTGTCGATATAGTAATAAATCGCTCCTGAAAGTCAAAAGCAATTGCTTGTCAATATAACTGAACAACTAAAGAAATATGTGAAGTAAAATGGATTTTAGAATAAAAACGCAAACTCTAAAAATTTTTGTAGCGATAGAATCGGCTTGCCTTTTGACTTGCAAACTTCAACAAAGTTTTCCCCATCGACAACTCTAGTGACGCCTGGCACAATTGAAGGTTGGGAAGGTTTGAGAAAATAAATGGGCTTACCAAAGGATTGTTTTGAAATTAAACTTTCATAAATCCCTGTCTTTCCCATCGCTGGTAGTGAAGTTTGTGTTTCATCGAGTTTCGGCCGACTTTGTAGTCTCAAAATCCACGAAGTATCTCTGGTTGGTCTTCGAACCACAATCTGAACCCATCCTTTACCAACGCAACTGCACCCATTGCTTGAGTCACAAGATTTCTGTACTGAGCCTACGGTACCAGTGGCCTTTAAATCGCGGGTAAGAAGGTCAGTTGCTTTCGTATCGAATTTTGTGTTTGACACCTGGCTAGAATCATTTGCACGAGCTTTGCTATCAGTTGAACAAGCCTGGAAATGTCAAATACGTTACTAAGAGCTTTCACTAGAAGAATATTAAAACTTGGTCGCTCTTGCAAATATATTTTGTTGTTTAAGCATGAATACGCTGGGCAAACAGCGTATGCGAATTTAAACAATGATACTCAAAGCATTTTCCTTACCTGACTAATTGAGGCCTTGTTTTTGTTTCTCTTAAGCTCAACTTTTAAAACCTCAGGCTCCGTGCCCTTCTGCAGTGAATCATCTCCACAAACACTTTTCCTGCCGAACAATATGCGCATGACATGTTCGAAGTTTCCCGGTTGTTGACTGTAACCGTGATCAACCCATTGCCAAGCAACCATCTTCTTGACGCTCCATTGTGCAGGAGTCGTTCAACAACTGCACTTCTATAACCAGAGAGGCTGAAATCACCTCACACTCGCCTGCACTGTTTGTCTAGAATAAGGCTAAACTCTGTATGAAAGGTATCTGTATGAAGCACAAATTACAGATCCTTTTATTACAAATTACAAGGCTAAAATCTGCGTTTGAAGGTAATATTAAGCACAAACTTCAAATATTAGTTGTAACCTCAGAATTACTGGTTAAAACTGGCCTTGGAAGAACATTAGTTTATTTGTGACCAATATTTCTTCCGTTTCTCGCAATCCGCGCACGTTATATCAACAGGTAAGTTAACGGACCAGGCAAAAGTCCCTGCTTTAATTCGGGCACACACACAACGATTTTACGGTAATTGGTCCATTTAGGTTTATACATATAGGCAGCCCTTGCCCAGACATGTTTTCCTTCTCGCGGCGCTTGCGCCTCGCGCGTGTACGCCAGTCTAATTAGTCTAATATTATGACCACTGAGCATAGGAACCCCAATAAATATTGTTGAAAGAAAAAGTAAATAGTCCAGTTACGGTTGCAAGTTCAGTAACGTCAGTGATCGCGAAGCATATAAATATATAGTTATTGAGAAGGATGGAAACTCTTGTAATAATATAAACATACATACGAATTTCACTCGCAAAATTTCATATCAAAACAACGAGAATCCCTCAAATAAATTATCACAAATACATTTTAGATACTCGAACAATAAATATTCCATTAAAAATATTTTAAAAGCAAATGAAAATGCACAAAAAATGTACAAAACATTTGCCTATTTGCCGAAAAATATCGTGGAACCATGCGAGATATAAAATGCGGTTTGAAGAACGAATCTGATTGGTCAAAAAAATAAACAAACGACGTGTGCTTGTCAAGCATCCGCGGGTAAAGTCAAAGTGTAATTGGAAAATTAAACGAGACTTACCTGTAAGTTGAAGTTTGATTGGAATTCTATCGAGTCTGGAGCAGCAGCAAGGGATTACATGAGATTGCCAAACGCATGCGCACAACCAGTATTGACAGCCGAGTGTGAGTGTCTCAATGTGTGCACAATACCAGTATTATTTTCTTGGGCACACTCTGAGTATTTGCAACCCTGGGCGGGTAATAGGACTTATGATAGCATCAATAAGTTAACATTGGGTGGGCATGTAATCCCTTGCTGCTGCTCCAGACTCGATAGAATTCCAATCAAACTTCAACTTACAGGTAAGTCTCGTTTAATTTTTCAATTCTTTCTCGTCTGTCCCAGCAGCAGGGATTCCATGAGATTTTAAAGACAGACACTTACACGAGTGGTACCATATGAAGCCCACCAAACTAAATGTGTAATTGAAACTTTTTGCCAACAGAATTACCAGGTTTCCTGGCAAAGAAACTACTAACAATGTTCTCATACAAACACTAGCCAAAAAACCCCAGTTTATGCTTTACATGGTCGACAGAACAGCCTCAGTAAAACTGTTCGTTTGAACTGGTTTGTTATAGTATCTATCGAAACACCGAGACGAAGACCATCCTGCTATTTTAAGGATCTCTTGAATAGGGACAGCTGCAGCTTTTGCCTTTGACGTAGAAGCTGCTCTTGTGCTGTGTGGTTTAAATTGTGCAACATCTATACCAGCATCTTTCATAACAGACCGGATCCATCGTGAAATTGTATCTCTAGAAACATGTTTGTGTGGTTTTACGAGTGTAATAAACACCCTCGTTTCAGAGCCCCGTAAAGCCTTGTTCTCGTTAAATATTCTTTCATGTGTGCAAAAACACAAAGACTTTGATCTGCTGGATAAGCTCTCAGCGTAATAGATGGTGGTTCGTACCCCGGACGACTTTGTTTTACGTGCTCCGGAAGAGTAAATTCCAAACGATCAGGAAACTCAGCCATAAATTCTATATCAAGCATGTGGAGGCTCTGTCCTCGTTGCGCAGTAACCAACGCTACCAACATGATAGTCTTAAGTGTCAATTGTTTCATTGGTAGTTCTGAGATGTTGGGAAACGAAGATAGGTATGTCAGAACCACTTGAACATCCCATGTTGTTTTATAGCGAGGCGTGGGCGGGGTACTCTTATATACTCCTTTCATAAATCTTGTAACAATAGGATGACTCCCTATGCTGGAATTGTCTTTAGGTATGGTAAATGCTGATATAGCACTTCTGGCAGTGTTTAACGTCGTATACGCCAAGCCTTGTTCATGCAGTTCAGTTAGAAAGTCCAACACTAATGTCACAGGGGGATCAAAGGGATTAATTTCTCGTTGATCACAAAACTTTGTCCATTTCTTGAGGTATGGCTCATACTGCTTGTGTGTTCCCTCAGACCAGGATCGCAAAATGATCTCTGCAGCTTTCCCTGAAATGCCTCTCTGCTGGACAGTCTTCCTGAGACTTTGCACGCCATCAATCGCATCTGATTTCTCAGCGGGTGAAGGGCATTGTTGTGAGTTTGTACCAACAGCGCATTGGACTGAGGAAGGAGTCGAGGCTTGTCGACCAATAAACGAAGAAGAATAGTGAACCACGGTTGCGTTTTCCAAACTGGAACTAAAGAACACTCGAGGCTTTGTCCTGTTCGATTTTCTGCAAGCATGTTGGAATAAGGCTAAAGGGGGAAAAGCATAAAAATAGTGAAGATGCCAATCTATTAAGAGTGCATTAATAAACGAAGCCCCTGGGTCTGGCTTCCAAGAAGCATATTTAGCCACTTTAAAATTTAGTCTAGATGCAAACAAGTCAATTTCAAATGGGCCCCAAAGTGCATGTATATTATCAAACACCTTAGAGTCAAGAGACCATTCTGTGGACTCATTAAATTTCCTAGATTCAGTGTCAGCTTCACTATTCTGAGCCCCTGGAATGTGGCAAGCACTTAACCAGATATCTCTCTTGGTACACCAATCCCAAATCAGGTGTGCCATTTCATTACAAACTGGAGATTTGATGCCGCCCATAGCATTAATATAGGAGACGGTAGTTGTGTTATCAGAGAGTATTCTTATATGCTTTCGTTTAAAATCACAGCATAACGATTGTAACCCGAGCAGAACTGCTTTCAGTTCTAAATAGTTAATGTGAAATTCCTGTTCGTTCTTGTCCCAAAGACCCCCAGTTTTACGCTCGCCTAACACAGCCCCCAACCTTTGGTAGAAGCATCAGTTGTTAGGGTGATATCAGGGTTGGATACAGTGATATTTTTATATGATGTTTCTATATTCTGTATCCACCAAGTCAACTCAGACCTGGAGTCTTTTGTTAAGTGCATGATAGCATCATAATTTCCTTTATTTCTCTGCAATGCTGCAGTTTTATTGATTTCCAACTGTCGGTAATGTAGTTCCCCAAATTGTACCCCGGGTAAGCTTGAAACTAAAAGGCCTATAACATGGGCCAGCCCCCTGATGGTTACTTGTGTCTGCTTCTGTAACTCTACACAAGTCTTCTTTACATAACTGGCTTTAGATGGTGGGAGCCTAATGGTCATGAGAACACTATTTAGTAAAAACCCAAGAAATTCTATTTCCTGTTTTGGTTCAAAGCTTGATTTATCTGGGTGTATAATAAAACCCAAGCTACAAAAAGTGTCCACAGTGTCATGAACATTTTTCTTGCAAGCTGTGTAATCATAGCCAACAAGAAGTGAATCATCAATATGGCCCATACAAGTATGGCCCATGGATCGAATACGAGTATAAACTGGTTTCAATAATTTAGTAAACAATCTTGGAGCACATGCTAAGCCATTAGGCAAACATGTAAATTGAAAATAACTATCTCCCCATTGAAACTTTAAAAATTTTCTATCCTCTTTGGCCACTGGGACTGAGTAGTAAGCATCCTTAAGATCCACAGATGCCATAAAGCAGTCTGGCCGCATAAGTTTTAAGGCTGTCTGAATTGTGTCCATTTTAAAATGGTGGTATGCCACATATTCATTAAGTTGTTTCAGATTTAATATCATTCTGTGAGTTCCATCCTTTTTGGGCCTCACAAAAACTGTGGAAAGAAACTCACTGGGTTCACTAGAAGTGTTTTCAATCACTCCTTTTTTGCAAAGTTTATCTATCTCAGCATCAATAATTTCTTTCTCTGAGATTGCAAATGTTATTTGTTTAGGTCTAGTGAGCTTGGTCTGTACAGGGTAGCCTGCAGTAAATTCAATATGATAATGCTTTATAGCATCAAGAATAGCAGGATCACTAGTTAATGATCCCCACTTAGTAGCATAATATTGCAGGCAACCAGCCTTAAAATTTTTTGCCTTTTCAGCAAAATCGAGAATGCAAATTTGTTTGTGTGAATTTTTGTCACCCACCTGGTTTGTTACTGTCCCTTCCGATTGGGAGCAGTGTGATTTCGTCTTGGAAGGTTCCCCTGAGTTGACGCCCGGCCCTGTCCTAAAAAAGGACGTCTTGAAAAAGTGTTGCTTGCCCTATCATAAGGCTTTGGTCGCACAAACTTTGGCTTGTAGCTTTTAGCTGTGTAGCGATTTTGACTGGGTGGCCGTGACGTAGAGGGTTTTTGCATTTGCTGGCCTACTTTCTTTGCCTCAGCCATATCTTTCATATGCTTAGGGAGGTCCTCCCCAAAAAGCTTACTAGAGGGTTTGATTTCCTCTTTGCACAATCTTGTGTATGGAGGATTTAGATCTGGCTTTATCAGCTCTCTCCTCTTCATGTTGAGCTTCCAATTTGCATGGCTTAAAATAGCAATGCTATCCATTACTTTATCAAGAATTTGGCGAGTTTCTGGTGTCTTTCCCTGTTGTATAGCTGATACAAGGTTTCCCGCCAAATTTGTTAACACAGATAAGCCTTGAATCAATGGCTCCTGTGTCCGCTGAAAAGCTAGGTCCACGGATCGTGTTTTTCTGGACATCAAGTCCCAGATTTCTTCGTTAACTGTAGTGAGAGTAAGATACTCACAATTAGCTGGCGGTGGGTATTTATCCACTCGCTCTTGCACCGTGGCTGGTGAGAGGTCGCCTATCAACATATTGTCGATTAACTGGGCGATCTTGCTCTCAATAGCTGGAGATTTTTGTGCCGTTGGGATAAATGCCTGAGTCAGGCTTTCCAAAAACTCGCTCTGAGGACCTGAGTCAGGTGCAACAGAGTCCTGCGACATATCTTTGTCGCTTGTGGCAACGCAAGTGGTGTCGAGCACGTTGGCCAAAGTGTTGTTGATGTCAAGCGAAGCGTCAATGACAATGTCGCTTTCAATCTGCTCCTCATCAACATTCGTTACAGTTGGGTCAACTGTATTTAGTAAAATGTCCTCTCTTAAGCTTTCAATAGCAGCTGCTTGCTTTTCAGAAGCAACTGTCTGCTTTTCAGAAGCCGTGGCAAGTTTCATTAGCGAAGCTTGTAGTCCTTGCAGAACGTCCGCCATCTTGTCTTTCTCGAGGTCTTTTTTGCCCGTATCGACGGCAACTTTAGCGTTCTCAGCCCGTATTTCGGCGTCAGGAGCTGTGGTCGCCATAGGCCAGATTCTTCGTTTCTATATTTGTAAGACTTCAATCGATAAACCAGCGAAATATCCAAAAATAACAGTAAATTTCGTCGAGCGATTATTTTTTGACTGTACTGGAAAGCGCGCGAAAAGCACTGGTTGTGCGCATGCGTTTGGCAATCTCATGGAATCCCTGCTGCTGGGACAGACGAGATAGAATTCAGTTGAAAAAAAACGAGAACACACAAAAAATTAAAGTTTGTAAAAATACAGGTCGAAAATTTATAAATACTTTTTTTATGCGAACGTTTTAAACGCAAATGGGCTAAAATTTCAAGATGACTGCAAAGGTTAAACCGGTTTTTCAACTTGAATTAAGCCAAGGCCTAGTTCTCAGCTCGCAGACTGAGGAAACATTGAAGAATGTTTAAAAAACCACAATGTAAGACATCATGGAAAAATCGCGAGAAATAACATTGAATTTGGCTTACCACAATTCGTATCTCCGATGCAATAGACGTCCGCTACGATTGTCATAATGAGTTTTTATGTGGTACACTAATATATTGAATATTCGTTCTGCAATTACATAATAGGAAAGGGAGAATAAAAAAATTATATTTTATATAACACCAGTGTATGATAAATGGAACTGTACAGCAAAATAGGCTATTACTCCTGACAATAATGTTGCACAGAAGCAAGACATTAAATATCTCAGAAATATTTGGGCTAAAGACCCCGGAATACCACTAAACAATAGCAGTTGAAATGATTATTTGAATAGTATATTCCAACCAGCATATAGTTATAACCTGCATTTTTTTATAAGTAAAAACAATAATCAAAATAATACGTTGCTTTGTTATCTCAAATTACTCACCCATAGCAAGATATATTTTAGAAATTCCATATCTTTCATCTTTTTTGGTACTCTGTTGTCTTCGAAATGTCCCAATTTTACATGTTGTCAATCTGTTGTAATTTTAAGTAATTCTTGGGCTAGGATGTGCAAAAGAATCGAAGAAATAGCATTTCATAAGTGCTAAGCGATAATCGTTGGTAAGCACGTGCTTAAGACAAGCTCGAATCGGAACTAGGTCAGAATTTCGGCTTTTTGCCCGAATTTGTTTTCCATATTTTTATTATTGTGAAATATTATTGCCGGTGATGCGATAATTCATATCATCCGGTATGTTTATATAAAAAATCGGCAAAAATCTTCTAAAGGCTCGATTTTGACGCTATATATATAAAATAGTACTGTATATTTGAACTAAACCACTGCAACCGGTTTTCGTTTACATTTTTGGCCAATATCCTAAGGATTAGGCCGCTTTGATGTGTAATATTGAATATATAAAACGCGTGAATATCATACCTGTGAATAGCTATGTATGCATGGCGGTAAAACGCCATATTTCGACTGGAATTTGCAATATTTAGCCTTGAAATTTACTACATTTGCGATTTTGTCAGTTTGTTATATATACTATTATTCCAGGCCATGCCCAATTCGACAATATTCTGAAAGGTTCCGTGATTAAATGTACCACATAATTCAAATGCTACAACAGTTTGAAAGATTTACTTGCCTTTTAAATTCCGACTTTCCTGCTCGATGGGGTTCTAAAGCTGGTGGGGAAATAAAGCCTTTTAATAATGATTGAACTGTATTTTTTTGTGAACTTCATGAGAGAAATAATCGAACAAATACACACATACTGTGATACATTGGCTTGGAATATGCTCCAAAACGTGTGAAATCGAACATTTGTTGTGCAATCACCTTGCAAATATCAAAGAAACGGGATCAAAATTTGAATATAGATTAACCAATCTGATTGGTTTTTATTGAACCAATCATGGAGTACAAAAATTGACCAATGACAAATTGACCTGTGCACAGAAATAACCAATCAAGTTGTCTTAATTTTGCTGAATTATGCAAGAGCCTACAGGCTTTAAAACAGGGCCGTCTGGGACCGTTTTCTTCAGGTAAGTTAGTTCTTTCTTTAGGTAGGATTCAAGGTATGTGTAATTATTTTTTTAATAGAAGTAGATCCCCGTGGCCACTCTGTTAGCTAAGAATCTCTGTCCCCGTATCTGGAAACACGGCTCACTGCTTGTCTAACTGTGTTTTGCTCTTCGTTTTCTAGGGAGCTACTAATAATTTTTTTTGTGTTTTTCAGACAAAGACGATCGTAGTTTAGTTTCAGTATCCAACCCTAAGAAGCCACCCCATATCCATGCCGTCAGTTAAACCCCTAGCCGCAATTGCCTTCAGCTAATTGTAAATGCTTCCTTTTCTAGGAACAACTCACCATATTTTTTGTCGTTTCAGCTACAGAGTTAGTGGGTTGTGGGTTTGTTGGATGTTGTGTCGTCGGTTGTGTGTTTTGTGTTGTACGTTCGTATTGTCTGCCAGTCGGTTTGCGAGTTGCCCTGTAGCTCTCGCTTTTTCCTGGCCACACAAAGAACACATTTCGGATACTCCTTTTTAGGAGATTGGGTTCGAGTCCCATGAATGTGTCAATTTTGCGCTGATATCTAATGTGGTCAGTCTCTAATACATAAGCACAACATCCAACGGACAATCTGCATCCTTTCACCAAACCAAATACAAGTGTTGTTCTCATACAACAGAATGGAACTTCCAACAGAGTAAGGAGTAAAACAATACCCAAGAAAAGTTCTCATAACTTCTCAAACAGGACAGGATGCGGCACTTGTTAATGAAGTATTCTCGATGTTTAAGGGACCCTCTCAGTTAGACGTCCGATCAGAGGATATTTCAAAGTGGTAAGCTGATTTAAGCATGTGATTACTGTGCGAATACTCAACCCATTTTAATAAATATGAGACCACTAAACTCATTGCTGTCTTCGTAAAGCGCGCACACAGATAATGTTGATTTTATCTGAAGTATTTTATAAAATCAACTAGAAATTGTGTTATCTCAAAGAAAAAACATTTACCTATTTGTATAAATTTAGTTCATTTCAAAAGCTTTCCTATAAGGCAAGAAATTTATTGCCGAACTATTACTTTTTAAATTGAATTTTAGAGAAGCGAAAAATACGGAAAGCCTTCCAAAAATCTCGCCTAAAAACCTCCAAATATTCTAGTATTACATTGGCACCAATATTTTCTCTTTTTACTTTGAAATACAGTCGCTTGGTGATTTGTAGTGATATTTCCACAAACGTTTACAAATGGAAACTGGAAATGTGCATATAATTATCACCATATTGGCGAAAATTTTACAATTATGACTTCTAGGGACAATTTTACTTCGGAAATCGATTACCGGGCTTATTTTACTCCAACGGGGTAGGCAACCTTACGTTTTTGACACCTTTAACCTCATGTGACAACCACATGTGCGTGCCGCTGAGCAACGCCTCGCTATAACAATAACAAATAAAAAAAGCTATATTTTTCGAGTTTTTCTGCCATCCTGACTTAAATCTATCAGAAAAGATAGCTAAAGCCTTTACAGTTTACATGTAACGGTTAAAAGACGACAGGATAAAAATAAAAAAAGGAAAATAACGAAATTCCAAAGGCGAGTTATATTTTCGTTTGTAATCCAGTATAATTTGATATAATTTTAGAGCTGCACTGCAGTGTCAGGTTAACAGCAATATTGATTAATTTCTGGATTAAAACAGAAGCGATTGGGTTAAAGTATTTTTCTTCAGCTATATTTGGTGGTATTTTTTGTGCTTTCTAAATTAGACGTATTAATTTAAACATTAAAAAAAACCGAATAATTTTCATGATATCTGGTGATGGAAGGCATGACAAGAATTATGCCTACACAATATTTTGCTGTACAGTTCCATATGTCATTCATTTTACACTGATGTTATTAAAAATAGATTTATTTTTCTCTCTTTCCTATTATGTAATTGCCATTTACCAATATACAGGGGTGGGGGTATTATGTGAATATGAAAGAAAACAGCCTGCATTTTGTTCTGTATATTCTTTTTTGTTATAGAAGTCACAAAATACATGCTGTTACTACACAGTATAGGGCCTTGTGATTCATATACAATTATAGTTTCAATTGTGTGAAGTGATGTTCTTGTAATCTCAATTGTAGATTCTATTGCATATAGAGCCGAATTGATATGGCAACATATCTTTGAGAATTGAAGTTTATGGCGGTTCTTCAGGTATGTTCTAGCAATTCACTGAAGTACTAGTTTGTTCGCTAAGGTATGTTGTCCCATGGTAGCGGTACGCACGAACCTGGAATATCACAATGCTGATAGCCTCACAACTATGGACAATAATATATTAATTTACTTGTTCCTTGTTTCTCAATTTTAGATCAAATAAATTATGGCAACCCAAGAGTCGCTAACAATTATTACCTTTATCTATTCACTGACTACACCTCCATCCATTGCTGTGCCATACATGGATTTGATTGACTGACATACCAAGCAAGGTAAATATTGCAGGCTACATGGTATATGTTCAGTTTATTATTATGTCATATTAAGACTGTTGGACATTATTTTTTATTCAGTAATTCCCCTATATGGGAATGTGATAAAATTCGAAGTTAACCCCTAGTAAAGATTTCACAAAATCAATTGAAATAACGTTGTACTTCGACTGGTTTCAATTCTGGAGGCCCCATATATGGCACAATTATCTGCATTATCGTTTCATTTTTGTTGATGATTGTTTCGATGGTGTTTTGGTGCCGGAAGATAGAATAATTGATACTAATTATTGCCCCCCGTACTGAAGACACATAACATCCCAGATAATAGCAAAAGTTGTTCGGAATGCGGATAAGTCGACAGGACATGGTCGCTTAAATGAGGCAGCTTCTTGATCTGCACGGAAAAATTACCAGGACCAATGCATTCAAATTGACTTTGGCATAAAAGATGTTGTCGGAGCGATTTCACTCAAAGTCGCCGTATTTATAATTAGTGGGTGAAGAGCTACTCTATATCCTATAGTTCCGACGGGCAAAAATTCGCTCATTACAAAATAAATGGATT